GTGTGTGTGTGTGTGTGTGTGTGTGTGAGTGTGTGTGTGTTGCATTAACTCATATCTGTGATGGCTCCGCTCTGCTTCAGTCTGGTGTCTCGATGTTCGTTCGGTGCTTTAGTGGCTGCATGCGGTTGCATCATGTGATCAGAGTGAATCCGACTGTCCCGTGAACTCCGTGTTGATCGAGTGTGTCGTCATCCAGGATGCGGTTGCATCACATGACCTGATTAAATCCATGAAGGGCCTCACATTTAACTGTGTTTGAGTGTTCAGCAGACATCGCAGGTGTCAGAGATCAGAGTTACTGCAGATATCAGGCTTCCAATAATGGGATATTTAGCCCCCGTTATGCAAATTTTACCAGGGGAACCCTAACAGTAACGTGTATTTTGCGTATTTTAACCCCGGAACGCAACTGGGCTAGTTTTTAAATAAAATACTGGACATTTAATATGTTACTAATATTTGCATATTCATGAATGTTAGAAATTAAATATTTATATCTGAGTAAAAAGCAGTGTCACAGTAAGTGGAACACTGTTGTGCGATTAATTGAAATAAAACTTGAATCAGAAAATCCCTTTCTGTCAAAAAAAAAGTTTGATGGTTTAATATTTCAAAAAGAAGAAATTAGGACAGCTATAAATATTAATATTGTAATTTTACAGTTGTAATGTAGAATAAAAAAGTTATTATTATTATTATTGTATTTTTTAAATACTTGGGTTTTTTATTTTACAGTAAAATATCACAATGGTAATATTTCTTTTTTATTTTATTTTTTATATATATATTTTATTTTTATTAAGTAATTATTATTATTATTATTATTATTATTATTATTGTTATTATTTTATTGATATGAAGCCTAATCACAAAATTTTGGCCCTCCAAAAACAAGGATTTATTTATTTTTAAATCACAATCGCAATTTTAAAACCACTTGGATTTTTCCTCCCCAAATCAGCGCGCTCTAGATCATCCTCATCCACAGTCACGTGTTCTGGCTGATTGCCTGATCCTAATCTCACTCTAATCTCAGAGCAGTGACGCAATCATGGTTCATCTGTTCGTCTCAGTGTGTCTGAGATATTCTGGAGTGTTTCTAAATGATGATGAATGACTGCTGTATTTAAAATAAATTTTAATTTTAATTAGAAGGTCTTTTTAGGGCCAGTTGCACATGTTGACTCGGCTATCTAAATGGGGACATTGCATAGACTTCTGTTGTTTTTATATATAGCAAGTATATAACAGAAAACTTTATGCATTTTTGCAATAAAAAAAAAACTTTATTTTTATACCAATTTTACAAATCTCCAGGTTTATCTACAATTTCTATACAAATTTGTCCCCAAAATGTAATTAAGTAGATACAAACACACACAGTAGTTTGTAAATGGTTTGATTTGTGTGATTTTTGTGTTTGTCTTTGTGAAGTGAATTTGCTGTAATGTTCATGAGTGATGATGATGATGATGAAGAAGGTGTGTGTTGTTTTACAGGAGCGCTGGAGGTTTCTCAGCGCAGTCCATTCGCCTGTTGGTTCAGTTCGATGCTGTATTGTTTCGGTGGAGCTGTTCTCTCAGCGCTGATGATGGCAGACGCCCCGGTCGCTGTCAGCTGTGAGACACTCTCACACTTATACACACACTTTTATACACGCACACACTTATACACACACTTACACACACACACTTATACACACACGCACGCACGCTTAAACATGCACGCACACACTCACACATGCACGCACACACTTATACACACACACACATACACACACACACTTATACACACACAAACACACACACTTATAAACACACACACACTTATACACACACTTATATACACACACTTATACACACACACTTATACACGCACGCACGCACGCTTCTTATACACGCACGCACGCACACACTCACACATACACACATGCACACACACACATGCACGCACACACTTATACACACTTATACACACACTTACACACACACACTTATACACACACGCACACTTATACACACGCACACACACACACACACACACACACTCAAACTCACACTCACAGACAGTTATAATTAAAACTAACCACTTCAAACATGATAACTGCAAACAATTATAATTATTTAATGTCAGCTACTCATATAACTACATATAAACACTTATTAAGTACAGCAAAATGAATGTACTTAAAAAGTGAAAAAAATAAATAAACGTTAAACCGAACCGAACACCTGCATTTCTCTCAGATGCACGACGCTTCTGCTGTGGATTTATTTATTCGTTGATGATAAAGAGGAAAAACAGACAAATATAAAATGCAAGTCACTTAATATTAACTTGTTTCTGAACTGTATGCAATCAATATCACAACATGTTACGGCTGGCTCGTAAGCCGCAACACAGAAGAGGCAAACCACAAAACTTCAAACAATAAACCAACTTATTAACAAAATAAGAGAGAGCGACTCAAAGACATAGCAGTCTTTTATCCGCTCCCACGCTCTCAGAGGATTGAATAATAATTCATTTCACTTTATGAATAGTAAAATGTCTTCTTTCTTTTAATTTCAGGTTGAAATATGCAAGTTCGTCACATTATCTTCCATGAATCTTACAATAAGCAAAACATTCCAACTTAACAGAAATGAGAATATAGAGGGAAAATGTGTTTTATTGTCATTTAAATAATACAATGAAGTTCTTTTTATTTGTATTGACCTGTTTTTAATGAGGTTGTTTGCCTCTGCAGGCTGAGAATCTGTCGGCAGTGTGTTTGTGTTGCGTGTGAGTGTGACTGAAATCTCTCACTGTCAGGATATGAGAACTCAACTAGTCCTCTGAACTAAACTAAACCACACTGACAGATCTCAGAATCACCCTTGAACACAGACTGAGCACTTGCTGTGTGTTTATGATGTGACGGCGCCATCTAAAGGCCAGACGTTATTATGCACATGCATGAAATGTCACAAAGTAACAGACTGCTGGCTTCAACAATCATAAAATCAGATGACGAGATACATACCATAGTATTGAATGCTTTAGTCGTAATGGAAACATGTTGAGTGAGTGGAGTAGCGTTCGTTATAATAGGTAATATTTAACATGCTGTTTTCTGCAGGTGAAACAAAGAAACCCACCGCCACTGAAAACTTGAAAAGACTGAAAAGCTTTTCTGGGAATTTTAAATACAGGACTGGAAAGTCATGAATAAATCACTCAGTTCACTCAGTGCAATCAAATGTTCATTAAAACTATATAATAGAAGATTTTCATTTATTATGAAGAAATTCAGCGGCACTGTGAAGGAAAAGGTCTTTCGGTGAAATGCATTTGAAAGTTGTTGTTTTGTCAGTCTTTCAGCAGGTCTCTGACATTTCAGAAAGAAATCATCATTCACGCGATGAGCGCTTACCTTAATTAATAGCCAACAGCACAAATTATGCTAATGTGTATTTAGACTAGCACTTTCTGCTGCTTTGAGGGACAGAGATGGGCAATTAAGCAATTAGCAGTGGACCGACACATGAGTGTGAGTGTGTATGATTGTGTGTGTGTGTAAGTGTGTGTGCGTGCGTGAGTGTGTCAAAGCCTTACTGCTCAAGCCCTTCTCCTGGAATCTCAGACATCTGAAGCATTCATTAAACCTCAGCAGACAAGCATTTCATCAGTGTTTTTAACAGTTTTTCACTCAAAGCTCTTCTCTGAAGACGTCTCTGGCCAGGCTCTTTAAATGTTCTGCACATCTGCAGATTTGCTTTCATGCTGATGAATAGTGTTTTAACTTAATCATGGCAATCAGATTTGATTTGTGGAGCACAGAAGCGTGAAATACAAAACAAGATTTGTCTTATTTTATCTTAGAAGTTGGCAGTGTTTTTGTTTTGTGTGGTCATACGTATGAGCTGGTGCTTGGAAAATGTATACCTAAAGTATTTGCCATTTTGTTATAATCCTTTTCCACAATAAATGTGGTAACTCAACCCTCTACGCACACCTTGGCAATATAATCGCCATTGGCTAGTAAATTTTTTTGTTTACTCGCCAGACTGATATACTATTTTACACACACACACAGACACGTTTACTTAGCTATCTAAATGGGGACATTACATAGACTTCTATTGTTTTTATATACAGATAGTTATACACTTTTTAACCTAAACCCACCCCTAACCTTACCCCTCACAGAAAACTTTCTGCATTTTTGCAATTTTAAAAGTAAAAAAAAACTTAGTTTACTTCATTTTTATAACAGTTTTACAAATGAGGACATCCACAAATTTAGGTTTTTGCCGATTTTGTCAGGTTTTGCTCACTTTTGGGTACAAATCTGTCCCCAAAATATGGTTAAGTAGGTACACACACACACGATTCCACCCAATCAGCTTATCTTTGTAAAATGGAACAGCTTCTTAAATAACTGAATGTGCACTCTTAACTTCAGCAAATCAAGCATTATATTATGATATTATGATAATTAAGCACTATTTAATGATAGAACTAGTGATTAGAACTAAAACTTGGTAACCATGAATGAATGCATATTTGTCATTTTAACTGAACTTAGGACTGGTGATGGTGTTTAAGATATTGTTGGTCATAGGCAGTAGCAATTTTTATTAAAAGATACTACTACTACTGTTATTATCTGCTGGGTTCATGAATATTAATCACGTTGTCAGCGTTCGCTCGAACTGATATGCTGAAATCAAAACAGGGACGGTAATAGATGAGAATAGATAAGAGCTAAGAGCTGTTTGCGCATTGGCTCCGTCCACTGCCGAGAAACCGGCATATCTTCTGCTTGTTCTTAAAAGCTGAATAATTCTAAATGAACTCTGTTATTTTGACAGGAAAATACAACAAAGAATATGGTTTACATGTAACGCGTCGATTCAGCGTGGTATGCAAGACTCTCGCTCCCTCTCTTTGCATGTGTGAGAAACACAGCGCTATCAGTAAAGCGACGGCGAGTCGTGCGCCTTCACACTAGTTTACGGTACGTCAAATACAGGTGCGCTGCGTGCTACATACTGCACATCCATTGAGTACATGACATGATCCATTGAGCGCATCCAAATAGTACAGATCGCTTGACGGAGAGCGAAACTCTCAAGCGCTCAGTCAGCGTGTTTATCGAGTGAAAATCTGTGTTGAACGCCTCTCACACACATACTGGCGTGTAAAATCTAAGAATTTATTAGCCAATGGCTAATGTTAGACATTATTTAGTCGCCCAGAGTAAGATTTAGTCGCATATGCAAGTGATTTACTCGCAATGTAGAGGGTTGAATAATTTGATTATTTTAACTCAGCTAAATTAAACTGCTCACGTTTTATTTGTACATCACTTTGCACACACACACACACACACACACACAC